CAGAAGCCCACGGCTTCGCAACGGGTGCACCCCTCGGGAACACTCAGCCCTCAAACACATTGAGGACCACATAGCCCCCGGGGGAGCACGCCTTCATCAAAGGCTGCCCCCACTCGTCAACAAACAACAGACTCCTCGACAGAATAAGAAATATCACCTACATTCAACGCATCCTCATTCTCATGAATTGGGGGCTCCCCCCGGCATCCCCTAGGATATCAAAGGCGAGCCTTCGCCAAAGCAACACACGCGCCTTCAGACAGGGATAGCCTTCGGCAAAAATACTGCCACTCATTTCAGACCAGAGTTTTACCTTTTCGACTCATCATTGGGGGAATTCGGTGCACTCTTTTTCCCTCATTGGAATTTTTTCCCACAGGGTTTTTTCGAATGAGGTTTTTAACGAGGCATCCCCCCAAAATGAAACGAAAAGTGTCACCCCTCGGCTTCACATTACAGGCAGGCACTGCTCTACTCCTTTTCACCACTTTGCAAGTGCCTCAAGGAGTGAGGGACTGGAGAACCCCTTCGGGAAAAAACCTCAAAAAACAAAAAATGTAAAAAACTCCCACAACAATAAGCATGATCCCTCAAGTCCCGGAATGTGGGTAACTGAGGGACTGTCCTCGACTGAAACATGCACACAACAAACCACCCACAAACTTTACAAACTACAACGGGACAACACCAAAGGACAAACACAAATTACTTCTTTTCCCTCAAATACCTTTCGGCAAAAGGAGTGAGGGACTCCTGATGGAGTATATGGCCCAGGAACCCCCGGACCATAGACTCCTACTATTCAAAGGGAGGCCCAATAGGCCCAGAAAGCACAACAGGCCCAAATCACAGCGCCCCAAGTACTAAGCAACCCACGTGGCACACTAGGGGTGCCTTCAGCCCCCTGGCCGAAGGCTCCAATTCTCACAGGATGGCCAACTCAAGCAAGCAAAGTTACTGGGAGAAAACGGTGAAAGTCAGTAGCCCTCGGCACCTAGAGCCCTCGACACTAAGGAGGTCCTCGGTACTTTGAGCCCTCGGCTAATCACCTGCAGCCGAGGGCACCTTTCTCGACATAATATCATCTCCACATGCGCCTGAATCACCGTACCAAGTACGGCGTCACATCCAACAGCCGCATTTAATGCGGCCACATGCGAATGCCAGCGTCACCTCGTTGAGGTGACCCCCTGACCATCAGAATGATGACACGTGTCCCTATCTGGCATTTATTACTACTATAAATAGTGTCCCTTTTCTCCATTTGTAATTCAAGCGAAATACGCTCACTACTTTCTCAGCAATATACTCTCTCTCTCTCTTACTTATGTTCTGACTTCTCTCTAGTTATTCCCCACAATAACCCCTCGGATATATATCCCCGGGTAGACTATCCATCAAATAATAATAAGAATAATTTAATAATAATAATAATAATAATAATATGAATAATAATAATAATAACAATAATAACAACAATAACAACAATAACAATAATAACAACAATAACAATAATAATAACAATAATAATAATAATAATAATAATAATAATAATAATAATAATAATAATAATAATCATAATCATAATAATAATTGGAGGTGTAATAAAGTGAAACATTCTTTGGATTTCCTCCTTGCTATTCTAGCTGAAGGTTTAGTACAAACCATTTGTCCTAGACAATTTACTGTTATTCTTGCGTATAGGCTAGGGATTCCTCTTTTTCAAGAGGGTGCTACTTGTTCTTGTTGCCTAGGTAGTATGGATGTTTGGGGGGATCTTGCTCTTCATTGTTCCAGTTTGATTGGTCCAAAATTTAGACATAATCTTGTTCGTGATATAGTTGCTGACATGTGTTTTCGAGTCTGCATTGCACACAGGATTGAGGCCCTGGCCTCTTGTTTTCTTACGCAGCTAGGTGGAGGTGCAAAACCTGCTGATGTTCTCTTGTATGGATGAGATAAGGGTGTTGATACATGCTTGGATGTCACTATTGTTTCCCCTTTTGCAGGAGCTGTAGATCTTGAACACTTCAAACCCGGGATTGCACTTACCAGGGCCATAGAGAGGAAGCAGCATAAGTATGCTGAGATTTGCAGAGCTAATGGTCACATTTTTGGTACATTAGGTTTCACAACAATGGGTGAAATTGGATCAGAGGCTGTTTTGTTTCTTAAACGTGTTAAGAGTCATATTTCTAGACATAATTCTACCTTAAATGTTGGCAATTTTCTTTTAAATGTTGGAGCTCAACTTGTTGCTAGGCTCCCTACTTGTCATTTGTAATCTTCATCTTTTCTTATCCTAATAAAATGCCTTTCCATAATAATAATAATAATAATAATAATAATAATAATAATAAGAATAAGATTAAGAATAATAATAATAATAACAACAACAACAATAATAATAATAAGAACAATAATAATAATAATAACAATAATAACAATAACAATAACAATAACAATAACTGTAACTATAACAATAACAATAAGAATAACAAGAATAATAATAATAAGAAAAATAATAATAAGAATAAGAATAATAATAATAATAATATGAATCATAATATGAATAATAATAATATGAATAATAATATTAATAATAATTATAATAATAATAAATTTATTTGAAATGTATTGGTGATGAAATAAAATTATAGTATCAAAATAATAAGAAAATTCTCTAAATAAGAGTAAAACGTTTTTGAAATTTCAAAATAAGATTGTCATGTTTTTTATTCCAAAACTTCTCGATACACTTATATTATTTCACATTTTTTATTTTTATTTTATGATGACGTGAACTAATGTTTACTTCAGTTGTGTAATATGGTGCATTGGCGCCACAACTTCAATGGTTAAGAGCCATTTGCATTAAAAGCCAAGGAACTATTACTTTTCTTTTATCCCAAAATGGTTAAGAGCAAAAATACTGATAAACCATTTTGAGATGAAAGGCTCACAAGCCACATAAATATTTTAGATATCGAAGGTCGAAAAGATATATCACTGAATCTTTCTCTATACAAAGCGAAGTGGAAATGCTTCCACTTTTCCCGCCCAAATTACCGGGTCAAAAAACGGGTAAACTATGACCATTCGGATTTTTTTAAGGTTGGGTCCGCATGTCCTTGACAAATCTGCTTTTGGTTCAATTTTCTATGCAATTTAAAACATCAGAAGCTCTCCTCGATTCAAAATGTTTTGCTAGCAAATAAAGTTAGGCTAAAGGGTCAAATAGGTCCCTGTCGGAGGCCTTTAATCGTACTTTGATTGGATGTAGGAGCAAAGCCATAATTCCAATGTTGGAGGACAAAAGGGTAGGAATGATGACACGAATTGCTATGAAGAGGCAACATGCAGGAAGATGGAAAGGTAACATATGCCCTAATGTTAAAAAAATATTAAATGGAAACATTATGAATAGTTCAAAGTGGAGGGTTGTTTTTAATGGAGATGATGGTTATGAGGTGAAGAGAGGGAAACACCAATACAAGGTAAAGTTGGAGGGTCAGACATGCTCTTGCAGGTTATGGGACCTCACTGGAATCCCTTGTTCTCACGCCATATGTGCGATGTTTGACTGTGGAAAAGACCCAGAAAGCTATGTTGATGAATGTTATAGTCTTGCTGCTTTCAAGAGAACATATGCACACACTTTAGAACCCATTAACGGTGAAACTGCATGGCCTAATGCAGGTGGAGAAAAGATACATCCTCCCCTTCCAAAGAAAATGTCAGGTAGGCCTAAGAAGAAAAGAATCCGAGAAGAAAGTGAACCTCCTGCTGCAAAAGTTTCTAGAATAGGCCGTGTGATGACATGCTCAAACTGTAAGCAAACGGGGCATAATAAATCTTATTGTCCAAGTCTTGAAATAGGAGACAATAGTGGAAGAGGGGGTAGAAGAGGTAGAGGTACCAGGAGAGGAGGCAGAAGTGAAAGAGGAGGCACCCGTGGAGGCACTCGTGGTAGAGGAGGCACCCGTGGTAGAGGAGGCAGCCGTGGTAGAGGAGGCATCTCAGTTACAACACATTAATGGTGGGAGATGTGAAAGAGTAGTAAAGACATCAATGACCAAGTCTGGGAGTGTTATGTTGTTTTTTTCATTTTGGAGTTATTTTGTTATGTAATATTTTGCTGAATTATTGGTGTAGTACCTACTTTGATTGGTGTGTGGTGTTCTACCTACCTTGATATTATTGTGAGGTCTACTACCTCCCTTAACTTTAACTGTTGTCAGGCTATTATTGTGATGTGTACTACATCTCTTTACATTATGGAATGGTGTACTGCCTCGCTTTGTTCAATGGATGAAGAGTTTTCTGAATTTAGCAGTTTACTTTAATGTGAAGTAGGAATACTTTTGTGAAATGAAAATTGTGCAGGGGCAACTTTAATGTTGAACAATGGGAAAAGAATGCTTTTTATTTGTGCAGGGGCAACTTTAAGGAATAGCTTATGTTGAAAAATTGTTTTGCAGGTTGTTGTATTCATGTTGAACAACTGCTTTGTGTTCTCTTGTTTGTTATTTGATCTAGCCTTTGGTCTTTCATAATGGTTGGTGCTCATTACAGACAAGGAGTAAACAAAGTAAACAAAACTCATTCAATACCAGAACAACTTCATGTTGCTCATGTTGAATAAGGCCAATGAATAACTCATTCAAGTGATTATTCAAGTTAAACTGAAATGAATAATTCAGTTTAACTCATTCAGAAACTTAACAGAAATGAAACTTAATAGAAATGAATAATTCATTCAAGTTAACAGAAACTTAACAGAAATGAATAACAGAAACTTCTCATTGTTTTTAAATCCAATTCAGACCAATACCAGATGCATAAACTGTAAAACCGAACTCAAAGCAAACCAAATAATTTAACTTTAAATCCAATTCAGACCAATAATTTAGAGTGCATAACCAAAGTAACCAAAGTAAACAAAATACTACACTTCCAAAACAATATCAATACACTTGAGAGTGCATCAAAATTCTACACCGGTACATAGCAACCACTACCATCAACTAAACAACACTGCAATTCATACCAAAGCTTATACTTCCCTTCCCATGAAAGCAGCCACAAAAACTATTACAAAAAGTAGACACATTTTTTTCCAGATTTTCTTTACTTTAGCTTCCCTGTGGAGGATATTCTTTATCACAGTAATATCACTCTGTTGTGCTAACATCAGGGCCTTCAAGTCCTCAACTGTGGTTGCTTTGGTTTCTGCAGAATCAAGTTGTGTGACTGCATCATTATCTTTGTCATTTCTTGAGCATACAAGGTCTTCCTTCCAAAGGAAGTACCCACAACCCAACCGATCCTAAAAGAGGAAAACACATAATCACAATTCCAAAAATCAAACATTTTAATTAATGAAATTCAACAAATTAGTAGAACTATCTTACCTTCCATTTTTTGCATCCGTAAAATTGCCGCCCGCTCTCTCGTGCGGTACACAACCGAGCTCTCAAACCACAAGTGCAATTAACCGAGGGTTCATGCGGCCAACTTTTCTTGCATGCCGATGACATCGATGATTCAGACATTAGGAGTTACGCAACTTTTCTTACCTTCGTCTTCCCAGGTCGTAGCACGCAGGTTTAAGGTCGGAGCACGCAGGCGGGTTAATAAATTAGGTTTTGGGTGTGATATAGAAGGATAAGGGCGAGTCAGTAAAATATTTAAATTAAATAAACTCTTTTTTTATGTTGACTCAGCATTAAACGGATTACTAGGAGAGGCAAACAGGAGTTTACCGGCTAAACGAAAAAATTGAACGATTTTGAAGAGTTGGAGGATTGGATTGGACCTTTTTTTAGTTCGGGTACCCAATTGAGCTATTGATATGAGTATAGGGACCTATTTGACCCTTTAGCCATAAAGTTAATACCGAGATGGTCAAAGACATTGAATGGGGGTGGTTGAACAATTAATGAGGTGGTTGAAAGGGTTGAAGCATATTACACACCGGGTTTTTCATTATCACTGCAAACCCTAAAATTACAAAGTTACTAGTTACGAAAATCCAATGCATTGTTTCATTTTCTATGTAGTAATGAAACCCAGTGTGAGTTTATCCGTTTGCTGACTTTGATATTTGCTTGCTATACCTTACGAATTCAGCATATCAATATCGAGAAGATCTCAATCCTTTGGAGAATAGGAGTACTCCAAATTTAAAAGGTGTAGAGTCATGTCGATCATCATATCAAAATCTCCAACTGTTAAGATCTGTTCGGCTTTACCAAGTCCAACTCTGAGCAACAAGCCGGTTAATGACATTCAGATCGTGCATCTCTCTTGATTGAAATTCGTCCATATCGCCATCGGAATATTCATCCCGTCGCAGATAATGTTCGTGAAGAAAATCGTGGAGAAGGCGTCTTTTAATAAGAAGGTCAGTTATGTGATCCGTTCTCTCTCTATATATAGGCCTATATGTATGTTTATATGTGTGTGTGTGTTTAGATCTGTTAAGTTTAAATCAAAACTGAAATCAGAATGCTTATGAGAAGATTTAATTTCTTCTTATCATTCTTAGAATGAATCCTTCGATTGAATGATCTAAGTGTTCAGATTCCAAACTTTCGACTATCTGTTTATTAGGATGTATGAGTTAATTTGGCGAGCAAGGAGCAATGCCATGAGTAAAATGGTAGACTTACACCTTTAAAAGGTGTAGAGAAGTTCCCCAAATGTCAAGATCTATTCGCCCAGAATGCTTACTGGTAGGCCATCTCGCCATGAAACAGTCTTCGAATTTCGGGGGCTTCAAAGAATTCAGAGGCTATTAGAAATATTAATTTTCTTTTTAAAATTTACTACGCAGGAGTTTACACCGGACAAACAAGATACTTGATACTCCAATTGCATAAAGCCAGGCTTGAGAATTGAGACGTCCCAAGAGTGTGAGACTCAAATCCGGAAGAGGCAGCACGGGACGATTGAAGATTCAGAAATTCCATCTTTATTGCTTCCTATGATCTTCTTCTGAAGCTCCACGTAGTTCCAACTTCCAACCTTCCAGGTAACGAGTCTGCTTAATTGCTTCAGACTTTCTTTCTGCAATTTGGAGTTCTAACATTATCCACTGCAAATCTATTGATGTCGTAGTTTTCTTCATTCACTCATTATATGAATTTTGTTTATGATAACTTAAGAAATAAATTTTTATTGATGGTAATAATATATACTCCGTATTTAGAAGTATTTTGTATTAGTCATTTATGTTTTGCACTAATATTTTTATAAATGTCATTGTTTCAGTCATTTAGTCATTTTGTCACTAATAATATTTAAAAAAATTAACAATTGTGTACTTGTTGTAAAATCCTGGAAATGACAAGTGTGAATTGTTCATCCTTGTCATCAATCCAGAAATTATGTTTAATCCTTGTAACCTAGTTAGAACAGATGGCTCAAATTGTTATTGCCACCAAATCAGTAGATTCATCCCTTAAGTGACTAATCATCAAGTTCAAACATTATAAATAGGAGCTTGATGAGGCATTGTAAATTCATTCAGAAATTCAGAATTTTCAGAAAATATTAAGAGATTAAGAAGAAGATATTCAGAGTTTTTATTAATATATCTATTTCTTAAGTTTAGTCTTCATCTTCTTCATTTCACAACACGTTATCAGCACGAATCTGCTCAAAATCTTCAAGAAATCATCATCTCCTGCAGTACAATGGCAAATATAAGCAAAAGAGAATTCGATGTTCTTGATCTGTCCGGTCAAAAATACTTGGAATGGAAAGTGGATGCCTTGGCACATTTAAAGGCAAATGGATTGGAAGACACCATTGAAACTAATAATCAATCATCTTCCCAAGACAAAGCGAAAGCTATTATTTTTCTCCGTCACCATCTCCATGAAAGTCTCAAATCTGAATATCTTTTGGTTGATGACTCAAAAGAATTATGGGACAATTTACATGAGAGATATGGTCACCAACAAAAGGTACTTTTACCAAAAGCTCAGTATGACTGGATCAATCTAAGATTCCAGGACTTTAAATCTATCAGTGACTATAATTCTGCTATGTTCCAAATAACATCTAAATTGAAGTTATGCGGACAAAAAGTCACTGATGCTGATATGTTGGAGAAAACCTTTTCTACAATGCATATTTCTAATATGCTGCTACAACAGCAATATAGAGAAAAAGGTTTTAAAAAATACTCCGACTTAATATCAGTATTATTGGTAGCTGAGAAAAATAATGACCTTTTGATGAAAAATCATAATCTGAGACCCACTGGTTCTAGTCCTTCGGTTTATGGTCCATCTGGCCATAATTTAGCAACTGAATCAAATGTAACATACAGTGGCAGTAGAAGGCATTTTAAACGTGGACATTTTAATGGTCATAATAACAAGCCACACCGAGGATATAAACGGGTCGATATACCAAATTACAAGGGCAAGGGCAAACAAAAAGCCCATCAAATAAATCGCCCTACAAAACCCTCGGTGAAGACGGCTTGTTACAAGTGTGGCATGACGGGGCACTGGGCTAACAAATGTCGTACTGCAAAGCATTTGGTGGAATTATTTCAAGCTTCCATGAATCTCAATAAAGCCAAAAATATGGAAGTTAATTATGTCAATGACACAACTCCACCTATGCCAAAATTTGACGTGTCCGACTTTTTCGCGGATGATGCCATTATGGATGATGCTTTTGCCATTGATCAAACTAACACAAAATAAATTATAAGACTTACATGTTGTAAAATAATAGTTTATGTTATCATGTACTTTTTCTTTCTTTTCCTTTATGTTATTCTCATAAATAAGTATGTAATATATGCACTTTGATGTTATATATAATGCATAATTTGCGTTATTTTCATATCAAACTTATGTTTATTTATATATATATTGAAGATATGGATCACTCAAATGATAAAGAGCCATGTCTGATAGACAGCGCCACAACGCACACCATTTTGAGAAATAAAATATATTTTTCTCAAAAGACTTTAGTTGAAGCTAAAGTCAATACAATATCGGGTGTTGCGAAGCTCATTGAAGGCTCTGGGAAAGCATATGTGATGCTACCTAATGGGACAAAAATAATTATAAATGACGCTTTATACTCCAGCAAATCGCGGAGAAATTTATTGAGCTTTAAAGATATGCGTCAAAATGGTTATCACATAGAAACCATGAATGAAAACCAAAAGGAATATCTTTGATCACGACAACTAAATCTGGCGCTAAATATTTTTGTGAAAAAATGCCAGCATATTCCTCAGGACTATATTTCACATATATTAGTCCATTCGAAATAAATTTGGTTTCTAACAAAAAGTTAGATGATCAGAAAACATTCATGTTGTGGCATGACCGTTTAGGTCACCCAGGCCAAGTAATGATGCATAAAATCATTAAGACTTCACACGGACACCCATTAAAGAATATCAGGGTTCCAGTATCAAGTGATTTTCCTTGTAAGGCCTGTTCTCTTTGCAAAATGATCATCAGGCCTTCAATGAACAAAATTGCAACTGAATCACCTGCATTTTTAGAAAGGATTCAAGGAGATATTTGTGGGCCGATAGCCCCACCATGTGGACCATTTCGATATTTTATGGTGTTGATTGATGCTTCAACACGTTGGTCACATGTTAGTCTTTTATCGACTAGAAATTTAGCATTTGCTTAACTCCTTGCTCAAATCATACGACTAAGAGCTCATTTTCCGGATCATTCTATAAAGAGAATCCGACTTGACAATGCAGGAGAATTTACATCCCAATCATTTAACGACTATTGTATGTCGATTGGGATTGATGTGGAGCATCATGTTGCTCATGTCCATACACAAAATGGTCTTGCTGAATCTTTGATTAAACGATTACAATTAATCGCTAGACCATTATGAATGAAGTGTAATTTACCTTCATCAGCTTGGGGACATGCTATTTTACATGCAGCAAATTTAATTCGGCTTAGACCGACTGCATATCATGAATATTCTCCAATGCAATTAGTTACTGGACAAGAGCCAAACTTAGCACACATTAAAATATTTGGTTGTGCTGTTTATGTTCCGATTGCTCCACCTTATCGTACAAAAATGGGTCCTCAAAGAAGGTTGGGAATTTATGTTGGATTTGAATCTCCCTCAATAATCAAATATCTTGAACCGATGACTGGTGACTTATTCACCGCACGGTTCGCTGACTGTCATTTCAATGAGACAGTATTCCCAACCTTAGGGGGAGAAACTAGTAAATCGGACCCAAGTACGAAAGAAATAACATGGAATGCAACATGATTATCACATCTTGACTCAAAATCAAATATATGTGAGCAAGAGGTGCAAAAGATAATCCATTTACAAAATGTTGCAAATCAGTTGCCTGATGCATTCACAGACACAAAGAAAGTGACAAAGTCACATATTCCTGCCATGAATGCCCCTACCAGAATCGAAATTCCAACAGAGAATTCTGAAAAATCTTTTGCAAATGATTCTTCTATACGCAAAAAGCGTGGCAGGCCACTTGGATCGAAAGATATAAATAAAACCAAGAAAAACTAAAAGGCAAGAATCGATCTGTGATGCCAAAGATGTTCATCCTTCTGAACAAGAAAATGAACAATTTGAAAATATTGGCATAGAAAATGATATTGACAAAACAAATATCTCAAATGATGATCCAACTTCCTTAAATGAGGAATATATTTCAGATAATGATAGAAACGTTGATAATTATGAAATTTCAATAAACTACGTTTCTACTGGAATGCAATGGAATCGTAAAGATATTGATATTAATGAGATATTTGTCTATGCCGTTGCCACAAATTTTATGAATGAAAACAATGACAATGAGCCAACATCAATAGAAGAATGTCGGAAACGACACGATTGGCCAAAATGGAATGAAGCAATTCAGGCTGAATTGAAATCACTTGAAAAACGTGATGTTTTTGGACCGATAGTCCCTACGCCAAAAGGCGTAAAACCAGTAGGCTTTAAATGGGTATTTGTGCGTAAACGCAATGAGAAAAATGAAATTGTAAGATATAAATCCCGACTTGTTGCCCAAGGGTTTTCTCAATTGCCGGGAATTGATTATGAAGAAACCTATTCTCCAGTAGTTGATGCAACTACATTAAGGTTTCTCATTGGCATGTCTGTTTTTGAAAGGTTGCAAAAGCACCTAATGGATGTAGTAACTGCATATTTATACGGTTCACTCGATACAGACATTTATATGAAAGTTCCCGGAGGATTTAAAATGCCTGAAGCTTATAGCTCGAAATCTCGAGAAATGTTTTCCATTAAACTACAAAAGTCATTGTATGGACTAAAACAATCTGGACGAATGTGGTATAATCGTCTTAGTGAATACCTTCTTAAGGAAGGATATAAGAATGATCCAATTAGTCCATGTGTTTTCATCCGGCGATTAAATTCAGGATTCGCCATAATTGCAGTATATGTTGATGACTTAAATATTATTGGAACTCCCGATGAGATTGAAAATACTGAAAAATATCTTATGAAAGAATTTGAAATGAAAGATCTAGGGAGAACCAAATTTTGTCTCGGACTTCAAATTGAGCATTTGAAGAATGGAATTTTCATCCATCAATCCAATTACACTGAGAAAGTTTTGAAGAGATTCTATATGGACAAAGCTCATCCTTTGACTTCACCGATGGTGATTCGATCTCTCAACATACACGATGATCCATTCCGTCCCCGAGAAGATGACGAAGAAATACTTGATCCCGAAGTACCATATCTGAGTGCTATTGGAGCTTTAATGTATTTAGCTAATAATACTAGACCAGATATTGCATTCTCCGTAAATTTATTAGCTAGGTACAGTTCATGCCCAACAAGACGTCATTGGAACGGGATCAAGCACATATTCCGTTATCTACGTGGTACAGTTGATCTTGGCTTATTCTACCACAAAGATGAAAAAGCCGCTTTAATCGGATATGCAGACGCTGGATACTTATCAGATCCTCAAACGGCGAAATCACAAACCGGGTACGTATTTACTTATGGTAACACCACAATCTCATGGAGATCTATGAAGCAGACATTGACAGCTACATCGTCAAATCATTCTGAGTTAATTGCACTATATGAAACCGGAAGAGAATGTGTGTGGCTACGATCTATGATTCAACACATCCAAAATGAATGCGGTATGAAGTCTATTACTTGTCATCCTACTGTGATCTACGAAGACAATACTGCGTGCATAGCTCAGATTAAAGAAGGCTACATAAAAGGAGACAGAACAAAACACATATCACCAAAGTTCTTCTCTACTCATGATCTCGAGAAAGAAGGGACGATCAACATTCAACAAATCAGATCCAGTGAAAATCCAGCCGATCTCTTCACCGAATCTTTACCCCCGAAGAAGTTCATGGAACTTGTACAGAAAATCGGCATGCGACGTCTTCATAATTTATACTAAATTTAGGGGGAGTATTTGAATGCACTGCACTCTTTTTCTCTTCATCAGGTTTTTATCCCACTAGGTTTTTCCTGATAAGGTTTTTAACGAGACAGTACATCCAAATACAACGACATTATAAGTCGTAATTTTTACCCCTTAATTTTCACAATAAGTTTTTAAAATAATAGACAACTATTCAAGGATGAACATTCAAGGGGGAGTGTTGTAAAATCCTAGAAATGACAAGTGTGAATTGTTCATCCTTGTCATCAATCCAGAAATTATGTTTAATCCTTGTAACCTAGTTAGAACAGATGGCTCAAATTGTTATTGCCACCAAATCTGTAGATTCATCCCTTAAGTGACTAATCATCAAGTTCAAACAGTATAAATAGGAGCTTGATGAGGCATTGTAAATTCATTCAGAAATTCAGAAATTTCAGAAAATATTAAGGGATTAAGAAGAAGATATTCAGAGTTTTTATTAATATATCTATTTCTTAAGTTTAGTCTTCATCTTCTTCATTTCACGACAGTACTATAATTGTTATTTTTCTTTTGTTTGTTGATGGTTTTTCTTTTATTTATTACAGAATATCATCTATATATATGCCAAACATGCAGGTATTAGCATGACGGGTAATTAAAAGCTCATAAAGAGAAAGAACAAGTTTAGAATAAATTTGGTTAGAAAATCATTTTTGGATTGGTATGTAAACAAGATATCTGTTTTGTTCATTATTTTCTCAGTTATTTTGCTCTTATTTATTCAATTTCAAGTTTTGTTTTCAATAAATAGTAGTTATGTTTTTTACTAATTGGTTCATCGCTCAATCAATATTACCATTCTTTGGACACTCAACTGGTAGTCAAAGCTGTGAAGCATCTCCACTTGAAGTTGCATATTGTTTATGATGTGTTGGAAACGTTGTAACATAAGCTGCCTGTTAGGCTAAAAGTTTGGTCAAGTGCTGATCTTTCTTATATGGAGTAATTAATTATTGGTTACTGCATAATAAGTCACGGGCGGGTCCGGTCATCCAGATCTTGCACTACTCGCTCGCCTAATCCATTGTCATCCTTAAGTTAGCTGACTAAATGTGTAAAAAACTAGGCAAGTATGAGTAGCTTATTATAAATAAAGAATATCAAATAGATCTATTGATTTCTTGAGTCACGAGTAGTTTGTTATTGGTTAATATGTTGTCAATATTGGAAATAATAAAGTAAACAAATTAATATAAAAAATTCAATTGAAGAGGTTTTGGAATGGTTTTTCTAAAAACACGTAACTGAAATTGATATTTTATAAGATGGTAATAATCTTATTTAAGTCTGAAAATGGAAGTAAAATGTTAATACAAGTGAAATTAAGCAGGAGTAAAAAATTATAGTAATTATAGTATGTTATTTATAAGATTTGATTGTAAATATAATAACAATCAAATTTATATGACTCCGATTACAGTTCGTATACCGTGGGATCATCCCACGGTGAGCATGGTGCTCCACTTCCAAAACGACGCAGCTTTACTCAAATTTTTTTAAAAAAATCGCGTGAACAGTACACGCGTCCTATTTTTTTCCTTTTGTCCCAGTAGCATGAATGATGTAACTCGCGTGTAAAGATATGTAACTCACGTTATTGATCAATGTAACTCCCGTCCGTTCGAAATGTAACTTGTCAAAATACATAGTATAAAAAATAAAATATTGATGTCAATGTAAATAATGAAAAGAAGAAGTCTAATTGCCCAAATATTTTACATAAATATTGTATATGTTTTGTTTTTAGTATTAGATCTATAAAAATGTTTTTTATGAAAATAATTTTTTTTAATAACAGAGCTTATTGTGTTGTGTAACTCGCAATGTATTGTGATGTAACTCGCATTATGAAAAATGTAAATTACATGTAAGCGAGATGTAACTTGATGAAGAAAGTTGACATGTAACTTACGCTAATAGATATGTAACTTTAGGCAAATACCGGTGTAACTTGAGTGTGAGTAAGATGTAAGAAGGTGAGTCTTCATCATTAGAATCTGAACTTTCATATTAAAAACATTATTACTATTATACATATAGATTAAAACAAAAAATTAGCTTGAAGTCATTATATTGGCCCACACATACGGACTCCACATCCAAAATACACACCTGCAACTTCAGAAATAAGGGATAGCCCCATATCGTCGATGTTTACTTCAATCCGCAGAAGGATGACGTTGAGATGCTCATAGCGCCTGCACTAGCAATAGACCTAATCTTTACATCGGTGCAACCAATTTCAGGGAAGGCCGTGGGGCGACGGCGAAACCTCTAGTCCCACATGCGGCGGAGTTCCATGGTGAGATGAAACAATGAAGGAGATGAAGGGGATCCGACGATTTGCTCTTTTTTTTAATAGGAAGCATAAAACTGTACCGTTTTGGGATCGGCACACCATGCTCATGGTGGATCGATCCCACAGTATAATTTGCGCTCCGATTGTTATATCGACTACACTCCCTTTAGTATCAACATCAAGTATTTAGGATAATATCAATGATTGCACTATTTAGGATAATATGATTTGATTGTAAGGTCAATATAATATGATTACATTTGTAATATTGTAAATATGGCAGATTAAAATAACAACCACAAGTAATTTGAATCTTCCAATTGGTGAGTTCTTAATATTTATGCATTATTTCACCTTTTAGTGCATTTACACATTGCATTTGTTTTAAAATTATCATGTATTATTCTAAGCAAATAATAATACAAAATACTTGGGTAATGTTTTTTTCGTGCATTACACGGATGAGAATCTCAACTCTAATGTACTTTGTAATTGCTATCAATGCAGTCTCAAAGGCTCAAAGCAATTCGTCACACACAAAACTCAAAAATCAAAATATGGGTGATAACGTAATTACATAAAGCCTTTCAAGAATAGTGTTAATGATTATGATGCTAAGTCAACAAAAAATAATGAAAATAAAGATGATAAGTGGACAAACCATCAAAGGAGTTCGAATAGAAGAAGACAAATAGGAGGAAGATCATTTCATCATCAAAGGAAGTTGGATTTTAGCTGGTGATATTTGAGACAGCAAAAGCAAAAGAAGTAAATGAAGAATAAAATTAAAATTTATATAATGCTCCAATCATTTATTTGGCATGAGTGCATTGTGTTGCGTTTGATGAAGAACATGAGGCTCCAATCACTTAGTGACGATCGTGAATATGAAGATTTGGTAGAGTTCGCGAAGTGGATTGCAGACTTAGGAGATGGTATTGCGGGCGATGTCAATGATGGATTTGATGATATCAAAATTCCAAGTGACATTCTATTAGTGTGGAGAGGATCTAATTGCCACTATTGTGAAAAGCACCTATCCTAACTTTGAGAATATTGCCAATGATTCGTCCTACCAATGTTGTCTACAAAGAAGTATTTCGGAATGTGTAGAGTACGAATTTCCTATTGTAATATTTATTATTCCTTACTCTCCCATAACATTATTCGTACCAATTACGAGTCATATATATTTACCTTAATTACAATTGGTTATGTGTATTACATATATACTCTTTCATGTCATTTAGACATTAACTATTTATATTAACAATGAATATAAAATAACTATTATTACTTAATATTGTATTTAATATATGTCCCGCGCATCGCGCGGGTGAGAATCTAGTAGGGCATAACAACAAGTATAATAGCATAATAATGTTCTAGCATTCATATAATGCTCGATATCTTAATCACATAACACTAAATCTAGAAAACTTAGTACTTAAAATTAGTCAGAAGAAGTCATTTCAAGAATTTGAAAAAACTCTTAGAAGTTAGAACCCGTTTGGTAACAATTAAATTGGCTGAATGGGCTGGACATGCTCAAATTGACAAAGTTCTGGCTGAAACGGCTGATTTATGGGGAAATTATATTATATTTAAAATATATTTTGTTAATAAAAATAAGAAAAAATTATATAAATAAATAGCTAAAATGATCCTCTACAACAACTCCGGTCAATTCAGCCACAAAAGTAACTCCGGCCAATTCAGCCACGTGAAACTAAGTGTTACGTGTATGGTAAAAATGTTGATTGACAAGTCAGATAAGCTCAAAATAGGGGTTACCAAATGGTCTCTTAATACTTACATTTATCATAAAAGTCTAATCGCCAAAATGATATGTTCAACTGATGGTGCAAGCATAAGACACAAAGAACTATGTAAACGGAATAGAAAATCACATCGGCTCCACTTCCTTGGCATAGTATTAAATGGTTTCACTTTCGATTAGCCAGAGTTCATATTCACAAATCACAACTTCACTGCCACTGCCGCCACCGCCCCCGAAAAAAAACATGCAAATCCTTTTAAGTTCTAAAACTTGTAGAAAAACTTCATTGACAAAATATTACAGGATGTATACTTTTTCACCGAAATTTGGAAACAAGAATATTCACTCCAAAAGAGCTAAATATTTGATTGACCATATCATGTTGTATTATATTCCATTCTAAGCTATACACGGTAAGATTATATATGAAATATATTACAATAAATGTTGAAGATCAGATTTGATTTTATATGAAATACATCATAATTAATGTTGTAGATCAATTTGGTTTGCAGTTCCTTCTATACGCCCCTCAAGCCACGTATGTTGTTAATGTCGTGAAAGTGGATTTGTGAGTAAATATGCCAGTTGATCAACTGAACAGAAGCAAGAGCTCAACTTGGAGGAAGAGAGGTCGAGGTCCTGTGAGTTTACCGAAGGCGGGGACGGGCTTGAGCCCACCTTCGTGGACTGGTTGCGGGTTGTTTAATTAGTTTTATTCTTTTATAACTTTCCTAATTTATTTCCTATTTCATGTTACTTGGGTTTTCTATTATTTTCTTTCCTATTTAGAGTTAGTTAGGATTTCTATTATTTTGTTTCCTATTTGGAGTTAATTAGGATTTCTATGATTTTGTTTCCTAGTTTGAAATTAGTAGATTAATATATTTGTATTTAAACCCCTAATTAGTAGATGATGTATTTGAACCCCTAATTAAGGTTCACTCTTGTTTCATACAACAACAACATCCAAGCTTTAATCCCAAAAGAATTTAGGGTCGGCTAACATGAATTGATCTATGATATCGATGCCAAACAAAAAGGGAAGAAGAAGAAAAAAGAAGCAGGATAAAATAGATAAAATAAAGATAAAGAAATATAAGATAACAATAACATAAAAATATAAGAAAGATAAAAGATAAAAAGATAAGAGCACAAAAAAGCTGGCAAATAAAAATAACATAAGAATATAAAAAGATAAAGAAAATAAACACTAAAAGAAAAGAGAGATGAAAGGTAGAAAAGACATCAATCGTCCACACGGATGTGCGCCCTTCACTTTGCTATCTCCAAAGCAATACTCTCATCCAACCCAAGAAGACACGTATCAGTTTTGATTCCTCAAATCCAAGTATGTTTGGGTCTTCCCCTTCCTCTCTTCCCTGCCTCTTCTCCACACCCCTCAAGTCGTGTAACAGGTGCATCACTCGGTCTTCTACGCACATGCCCAAACGACTGAAAACGAGACTCCTGCATCTTATCTTCTAGAGGTGCTACTCCGACCTTTTGTCTGATTATCTCATTTCTCAAGCGGTCTTTTCTGATATGTCCACACATCCAACACAACATACGCATCTCTACCACACTCATCTTTTGGATGTGGCATTGCTTCACCGCACAACCCTTTATGCCATACATTAATGCAGGCCTAATTGTTGTTCGATGAAATTTACTTTTCAGTCTAGTCGGCATACCTCGATCGCATAGAAATCCTGATGCACTCTTCCATTTCATCCACCTAGCTCCGATTCTATGGCATACATTTCCATCTAATTCACCATCCTTCTTAATTATGGAACCCAAATAACCCAACATATCACACACCGGTATCTCCTTACCATCAAGAGTAATCTCACTGTTGGTACTACTTCTACCTCCACCAAACTTACACTCCATATAATCAGTCTTGCTTCGGTTTAATCTTAAACTCTTGATTTGCAAACATCATGCACCACAGTAAATCTTCTTGAATTTACTTTGTAAGTTCATCCATGATTATTGCAAATAAGAAAGGACTCAAAGCAGATCTTTGGTGCACTCTGATAGTCATAGAGAGCTCTGCAATCCTCCCTACAATAGTGCGGACACTGGTAGTAGAAGCATCATACATATCCATGATGATACTAATATACTTACAAGATTTACCTTTTCTAGTTAAGACCCACCAAAGGACTTCTTGATGTATCCTATCATATGCCTTTTCCAAGACAATGAACACCAAATGCAGATCCTTTATAATGTCTCTGTACTTCTCCATAACTTGCCTAAGAAGGTGAATGACCTCAGTTGTTGAGCATCCAGGCATACAACCAAACTGATTCTCCGAAATTTTCACACCTTTACGAAGTCTTTGCTCAACCGCTCGCTCCCAAAGTTTCATGATGTGACTCATAAGCTTAATCCCTCGATAGTTGGCACATTTTTGTACATCACCCCTATTTTTAAATAGGGGAATGAGAGTACTCTTCCGCCAACTCATTGACATTTTGTTGTTTCTCCAAATCATGTTGAAGAAACGTGTTAGCCACTCGATGCCTTTCTCTCCCAAACTTCTCCAAGCGTCGATCAGTATGCCATCCGAGCCCACTGCTTTCTTTCGCCCCATCTTTTTCATAGCCTCTTTAACTTCAATTGTTTGAATATTTCTCACGAAGTCCCGATTTACCATACATTCTGGTATAGTAAGATCATCAATACCTTGCACTTTATTCCCGTTGAACAAGGTATAAAAGTATGACCTCCACCTCTCTTTTATTTCCTCATCCTCCATTAGTACCCTTTGATCGACATCCTTCACACATGTAACTTTTCCGATATCTTGAGTCTTACGGTCACGAAGGTGAGCAAGTCTGTAAATATCTTTTTCTCCTTCCTTAGAGACCAATTTTACATACAATTCCTTGTTCACTTTTCTTAGCTTCTGGCTTCCTTCACAGCTTTCTTTGCTCTTCTTCTAGCCTCCTTGTACTCCTCTATGTTCTCGTCGCTCCAGCTTTTACCCAATTTCTTATAGCATTCCCTTTCGGTCATTATTGCTTGTTTCACCTCATCATTCCACCACGACGTGTCCTTTTTAGGTGGCAGACATCCTTTAGATTTTCCAAGTATCTTCTTTGCCACTTTATTAATAGTGGACTCCATTGATAACAACACATGATCCATATGTGCATCATTATCAATAGAACATACATCTTCCTCCAACATTTTGTGTGCAAAACTTTGTTGGAGATTCCCCTCGAGCCTCCACCACTTTATCTTTGGCTCCCCTTGTACCTTAAATCACCTCCTTTTTTACCGTGAAAATCAAGCACAAGCATCATATGTTGAGTGACAGCACTCTCACCAGGGATAACCTTACAATCACTATAGCTAGGTCTCCAAGTAATTTGTATTAAAAGGTAGACAATTTGGCTACCAGTAGCTCCACTTTTATAGGTGACAAGGTGAGAGTCTCTTTTATTGAACCAAGTGTTCATCACAACCAACTCATATGTCGAGGCAAAATCCAGAATGTTCTTCCCCACTTCATTTCAAGTGTTAAAACCATGTCCGCCATGATTACTCTCAAAACCATCATGACTTGGGCCCACATGCCCGTTGAGGTCGCCTCTTATGCCCAGCTTCTCTCTCCTTGGCACTCGTCACACCACTTCCTCAAGATCGTCCCAAAATTGTTGAGTGATTGATGCATCCAATCCCATTTGTGGTGCATAGGGTCACTCTTGTTTCATAAGTTAATAAAATTGGATTTCAATCTGGTGGTTTTGGGCAATGGTATCTTCCGTTAATTATTAGTTTTCTGTTCTCATGTATTGGTCCGACCTGCTGGATCCGTCCCCATCGGAATGATGAGATCAACCACTAAACGTTTGACAGAAGTGGAGGCAGAACAGACTTTGATGAACCCAGAAATTGGAAGCGCGGGGTGTCCAATTAGCGGAGAACGCAGCCCCTTGGCTGCACTCACGAAGGCTCTCGTGCTTTCAGTGGCAGAAGGGCCCGGGCAGCCCACAGGGACAAAGAATGATCAAGGAGTTTATTGTGGCACGATGCACGGTGACCATTTCGCTAGACAGTGGCGCAAGCCACAAATTTACTTCTTCATCCTTCGTTTGCCTATTACGATTGCATCCGGAACAGACAAACAAATTTGCGGTGCAACTGGGAGATGGACATAGACAAGAGTCGGGGGGCTTGTAGACAACTTCCTATCTCATTGTTAGGGTGTGCTATTAAGGCAAATTGCTATGTGTTTGCCTTAGGCGGGGTTGACCTCATTTTGAGAGTAGCTTGGTTGGCCACGTTGGGAGAAGTACGGACAAATTGGGAAGCATTGACTATGAATTTCGAGTGGAGTGGTAGTCAAGCCAACTTAAGGGGTGACCCGACAATTAATAAGAAGAGTGACTTTGAGTGTCTCAAGGGCAATCCAATGATGATGTTTACTTGGATGACTAAGGATAGTTTTGTGAGCCAGTTTTCGGATTCAACTTTGAGAACAAGGCTGTTTTGAAGGGCGGTGGAATTCATAGAGAGCAGGAGCTTAGATTAGAGGAAGAGAGGCGGAGGCCCTGTGGGTTTACAAAAGGCGGGGACAGGCTTGAGCCCACCATCGTGGGCTGGCTGTGGGTCGTTTAATTAGTTTATTATTTTATCATTTTCTTGATTTATTTCCTATTTCGAAATACTTAGGATTTCTTTTATTTTATTTCCTATTTGGAGTTAATTGGGATTTCTATTACTTTGTTTCTTATTTGGAATCAATTAGGATTTCTATGATTTTGTGTCCAAGTTTGGAATTAGTAGATGGGTATTTAAAACCCTAATTATGGTTCACTCTTGTTTTATCAATTAATAAAATTGGATTTTAGTCTGGTGGCTTTGGGCAACGGCTTCTTCTGTTAATTATTAGTTTTCTGTTCTCATCATTAACTAAAAATGTGTAGAACTTGAAGGATGCCTTGCTGCACTTGTTGTCGAACAAAGTGGAAAGATGGAATTTGAGGAGAGATGAGCTGCACCACGATTATCATAAAGAAGGATGGTACAAGTAGTGGGCGAGTGGTGCAGTTCAGACAATAAGGACTCAATCCATGCAATTTTAGAGGCAGCTGAAGATAAAGCACGGTATTCAGCATCAGTTGCAGCTTACTGGACTTCCAGGAGATCAACCAGTCGCCCAAATAGATCACATATGCACTAGTGGATGAATGATCATCAGGATTGCCCACCTGATTAGCATCTGAAAAGGCACATATAGAGAGATCATAACACTTGGGAAGAAATAGGCCATGGAATGCAGTACCCTTGAGGTAACAAAGATCTCGTTTAAGTGCAGCCCAGTGATTTTGTGTTGTCTTATAAACGAATTGGTACAACTTATTAACCGAAAAAGCGACATCAGGCTGATTAAGACTGAGATATTGTGGAGAGCCTAGAACATGACAATATAAGGTCTTATCACAACCACCAAATCCATCCACCAAGCTAAGAGAAGTAGAAGAGACGAGTGGAGTTGCAACCTGCAGTGGTGGAACCAATCACAATACTATCATCAGTGTAAATGAGGACAAAAATATAGAGTCCTTGACGTGAAAAAATGAAGAGTCTGACATCAGAAATAGATTGTCTAGACCCAATGAGAAAAAGAAACTCATTTGAAGACTTATACCAATCACGAGTCGCATGTTTGAGGCCATAAATGGTCTTGCGCAACCGACACACAAAGTCTGGAAGAGTACTGTGAAGGAATACATTATTAATATCCAACTGATTAATAGACCAACCATGAGAAAGTGCAATAGTAAGGACCACACGAATAGTGACAAGTTTGACCACCGGGCTATGTCCCGAAAAAGTCAATTTCGAGTCACTAGTGAAAACCCTTGGCCACCAAACGAGCCTTTAAGTGTTTCAAAGATCCATATGGCTCA